GCCGGACCCCGAGCTCGGGATAGCGCAGCACGGAGCGGAGCACGGGTACCCCCCCCTGCAGAGCGGAGCTCAAGCGAAGTTCGAGCCCACGTTCTTTGCAACTCAGACGCCATATCGGCGGATGAAGCTAAGCGCTGCTTGGGTAATCCCACCAGCCCTCTGGGCGTAATTAGGTGGTCTATGGAGGCTCCTCTTCCAACCCCTTCTTCCCCTTCGGGGAGGGGTTTATCATTGTCCGTATATGTGTGTGTATATATATAGTTATATAAACCACTCGGCCGGCGTCCAACCCGGAACCATGCCGACTCCATGAGGCCCGCCCCCCCGCCATCCCTGTCAAAAACAATACAAAACGCACTCTGTCTCCACATTTGGAGCATGCGCGGCCGCCCCGCGACCATTTTGTGTTGGTATTTTCCAGGGGCGACTGGGGTGCCAGCAGATCCCACCTGCCTTCGGGGCGCAGGGGGTCGACCGACATGTTTGACGCATCAGTGGCTGCTGCCTTTTCGCTTTATCGTTTCCGATGGGCTTTCGAAACCTGCACATCGCTGCAAAATTGGCCAAGAAAGCTCCAAAGTCGGGCTCAAGAAGCTTCTAAGCCCGCCCAAGAACGCTTCAAATTGACGCCAAAAGAGCGCTAAGAGGCGGTTTTGAAGGCCCCCAAAGGGGAAGCCTCCTGGTGGATGGCCCAAGAGAGTTTCAAGCCGTGCCCACGAGGCCTTCGAGACGGCCCCAAGAGCGCCCCAAGGTGGTCCAAAGATGGCCTCAACAGGTTGTTTTGAAGGCCCCCGAAGGGGGGCTAGCCCCAAATAGGGGGGCCAGTGGCGGCGTTCGGAGGCGGAGCCCCTATTTGTGCCCAGTCGCTGGCGCACCTGGCGCGGCATGAGCACCTGGAATAGTGGGCGCACGTGGAGCACGTGCCGCACCTGGCGCGCCTGGCACGCTTGGGCCTCCAGGGTCTAGTGCATATGGAACCCGTGGCGTCTGCGGCGTTCTTACGCGATATGCTGACACTCGTGTGTTACGTATGTGTTGGGATGGCGGGTGGGAGTGAGCTAGATAGCTTGCGGGCGAGTGGGTAGCTTGACCCCTCCTCTTCCCTCTCCTGGACCTGGACGGGGCGCCCCGCGAGGTATCAGATGGTACTTTTTCGCCCAAGATGGCTCCAAGGGGGCCTCAGAGAGCCCAAGATGACCTCCAAGATGGCTCAAGATAGCCTAAGATGCCTGAAGATTGCTCACTCCCAAGATGCTCCAAGAGTCCCCAAGAACGCTCCAAGAAGGCTCAACGATGCCTCCGAGGCTTCAAGGGGGGCCCCATGAGGCCATAATTCTTCGAACAACTCAAGCAAAGCTGTGAGTTTTGCCTTCTAGTCTTTTTGCTTTCGATGGCCTTCCGAGGCCTCAAGACAGCTCCAAGAGGGCCCCAAACCAAGAGAGGCCCACGAGAGCCCCAAGACGGCCCCAAGAGCGCCCCAGAGCGACCCAGGAGTGCTCCAAGAAGGGTCCAAGAGGCGATTTTACGTATTCGAGAGGGGCGAAGCTAATGAAGTATCCCACCTTTGTTGAGCGATCTCCACCACGATGGCCCTAAGAGCGCCTCCAAGGCTTCGAACAGCGCCCCAAGAGTGCCCCAAGAGGCGCCAAGGAAGCCCCAGGATGCCCCCAAGATGCCCCCAAGATATTACCAAGAGACCCCCCAGAGGCTCCGAGAGGCTCTCCGAGGCACTCATGAGGCCTTCGGGACCGCTAAGAGGCGCCCAATACGCCCCAAGGGCCCCAAACTCGCCAATTTCCTCCTGCTGCTCCTCGTCCTCCTCCACTTTCTAATCCTCCGCCTCCTCCTTCCTCCTCCTCCTCCTTCTCGTCCTTTGCCTCCGATTCTTCCTCCATCCTCCGCCTCTTGGGGTACGGTGATTTATCCAGCCTTACGTTCGTCTGTATGCTCATCTACTTCTCTGATCAGGGCAACTCGTCTGGGCCTCGTCTCTGGATGGGCTGGTGGGGTTACGCGAAGCTCGCATTTGGAAACGAATATCAAGCAGGAGAGTGATGATGAGGACAACACGCTGCAACTGTGGGATTCGAAAGACAACTTGGAAGGGCTGAGAGAAACCGGTAAAAGGCTACCTACGCCACGGCGTTTCACTAACGTATGTTTGTTATAGCTCGCATTCGCAGAGGACGTCTTTGTTACTTCAAACATGATGAAACTGAAATGCTCCAGTGTGTTAGCGTCGCATTATTCCCCATACCCTAAGATGGGGCTCTTATGAGTACTTAGACGCCTCCGGACCCCCGCCTTCTCCGCCTTCTCTCCTCGTCTTCTTCATTCTCATGTCATTCATATGCTCATACGCAGATCGCTCACACCCATCACGAGGTCTATCACAACTCCACTCTTCTTCACGGGGTCCACCATCGACTCACTCCTCCTCGCGCAGACTCAGCTACATCACTTCTTCACTCAGACTCAGACTCATTCAGACTCACTCACACCCACTCAGGGAATCAGGTTCAGACGCATTCTGATTCATACGCATTCAGAAAGTATCTGACTCCGACACTTCTTCCTCGCTCTGAATTTTCTGGTGGTCCACTACTCACCGCGATCTAGCAGGCTTGGCAGTTGGGCACCCCATGGGGGAGACGCCAAGGGCGGGGACACTCCAGGATTCGCGCTCAGATGGGGGGGATTTTGCCCCAATCGTTTTTTTGAGGGTGGTCCACTGCTCGCCGCTATATAGCAGGCGTGGCACTGAGCCGCCAGGGGTGGGGGGACTCCAGGATTCGCGCTTCGATTGTGGTGACGTCTCAAGCGGTTTGCCCGTTTCTGCCCCCCCCCCGACATTTCTCTTTTGTCGGTCCACTGCTCACCGCAATCTTGCAGGCGTAGCGTTTGGGCACCCTGAGGAGGAGCTGCCAGGGGTGGGGGGACTCCAGGATTCGCGCCCAGATTGTGGGGATTTCTCGCGCGGTTTGCGCCTATCTCTGTCCCCGACATCTCTTCTTTTTCCCAACCATCCTGTGGTGTTGGGTCCTTGTTTTGAAGAGACAGCGCCCCGCCTTCCTTCCTTCCTTCCTTCCTTCCTCCTCCCCCTCCTCCTTCCTCCTCCTCCTCGTCACCTTCAAATTCAAACTCACCCGCACTCAGACTCACTCACGCCCAGACCCACTCGCACTTGGACTCGCTCGCGCTCAGACTGACTCATGCTCAGACCCGCACGTACTTGACTGAAAGATGTCCAGATGAGGAGGACTTCACTGAATTCGTCACCGTCGTCGTCGTCGTTGCCGCGCTTGTCGTCTGCGCGGACTCGCTCTTACACCAAGATGCTCATAGGCAGAGTTTCTCAGCGAGACGCGAGGAGTATGAGATGCACATCTGGGTATGCTCGCTTCGAGTACATCTCGACATCAGCTTCTCTGCGCCTGCCCTGGCTTCTTACGCCTTCGCTTGCATGTGTTGTTGTCTTCCTTCCGCGCCGCAGGCCGGCAAGATGTGCGCCATCCTGGGGCCGTCGGGGGCAGGCCGCGGAGCTGTTTGATGTCTGCAGAGTCTGGGTGCTCATCTCCATGCCTGCTTCGCGGCTTGCGTTTCTGGTGCCATGGCCTCTCAGATCACCACAGCCTGCCATGGCATTGTTCCCGGGTCTGTCCAGAGGGGCAAGACCTATGCACAAGCACAAGAACGCTAATTTTCATTCAGATCTTGGACATGGGAGATGGAAGTGAACAGGAAGATCCAGGAAGTATAGGAAATATAGGAAATCTGGGAATTGGTGAAGATTTATTGGTGTCTCCCCGGGTCCTTTTGAAAAATGCCGCGTGTGCTCAGACGCGACATTGTTTTCAATGCCTCAGTGTTCGGTCTAAGACCAATGGACACGCAAATAGACGAATGCAAGTAACGGTCTCCGTCTCCGTGTCCCCCTCTATCTGCCTGCCTGTCTGTCAGTCTGTCTGTCTGGGTCTGCCTGTCGGTCCTGTCTTGTCTTGCTTTGTCTTGTCTTGCTTTGTCTTGTCTTGTCTTGTCTTGTCTTCTCTTGTCCTATCCTGTCCTGTCCTGTCCTGTCTTGTCTGTCTGTGTGTATGTCGGTCTGCCTGTCTGTCTGTCCGTCCGTCCGTCCGTCCGTCCGTCTGTCTGTCTGTGTGTCTGTCTACCTGTCTGTCTGTCTGTCTGTCCGTCTGTCCGTCCGTCTGTCTGTCTGTCTGTCTGTCTGTCTGTCTGTGTGTCTGTCTGTCTACCTGTCTGTCTGTCTGTCTGTCTGTCTGTCTCTCGCTCTCTTTCTCTCCCTGTCACCCTCCTTTTTGTATTCACGAGCTTTTTTTGCCCCCCCTCCGAATTGCAGGGGGTGCAGGGGGTGTCGAACCTGGGCCCCACCCCCCCCAAGAGGGTGGAGGGGGCGACGGCGAACGCTGGAGCTGGCACTTGCGCCGTCGGGCAACGACGATGACGACGATCGAGCAGCCGTAGGATGCTGTAAATGCTGGATCTAGCCCGGATAGGATTAGATTGGAGCTGGATCGAGCCTAGGTGGGATTCAAGAAGAGCTAGATCTTCTAGTAGGCTCTATCAGAATTGATCGAATTTTCGTAGGACTCAATTCGAGCTGGATCCTTCTGTAGTAGGATTATATCATTGTTGGGGTTGGAACCCGGTTAGGGTGCTTTGAAAGATGGACCCAGCTGCAGTAGGATCCCATTAGAGTTTGATCGAGCTTCAGTGGGATTCAATCATGGCTGGATCCTGTTATACTCGGGCTGTTGTATCGAGCCGGCCTACGACGCGGTGAAAGTTTATTCCAGCTATAGGACTCTAGTAGAGTTCGATCGGGCAGTACTAGGATTCTATCAGGGGGAGGGCCCTCCCCGGTCCGACCCCCCCTTTCTTGCACAGTGGGAGGGCCCCCCCCCGGTTTGAACCCCCCCTCTCTTGGAAGGGCCCCCTCCTGCTTAGAGAGGCCTTTCCAGGCACTCCCATTTTTTTTTCCGGGGGGGGGGCGGTTTCGACGTGTCCGGATATTCTTGCCAACGCGTCGCGAAACGCGTTCTCTCTCTCTCTCTTTTTTTTCCTGCTGTCTCTCTCTCTCTCTCTCTCTCTCTCTCTCATTCTCTCCTATATATATATGTAGGTATATGTATCCTCCTTTCTCTTGGAATGGGCCATGCCAGAATTTGGTTGGGTTGCAAGGGCGCCGTCGTGCAGCAACGTCGGAACTTTACTCGAGGGCCAATCGCGTGCGTCATGGCTTGCAGAGCAAAACTTAAACACATCTCTCGAATTCTAATGGTTCGCATTGCGAATTTGCTGCCAATCGTGGTTTCGGGATGCGAGCATCCCGTAATTTAATAGGGATTGCAGCCTCGGGGACGCGAGTGCAGTGTAATTTACAAAAGGATCGTGACCTCGAGGACGCGAATGTAGGTAGGTTAGAAAGGATCGCAGCCAGGGTGGCGCAAACATTTTAAAACTTGGGATAGTTTATGGCCTCGAGGACGCAAGTTTGGTAATTTTAGGGGGGCTGGTGGCTTCGGGGACGCGATTATCTAAAATAATTTAGAGAGGATCGTGGCCGCGAAGGGGTTGTGGCTTCGAGAGCACAAACACGGTGTAATTTACAAAGGGTCGTCGCTTTGTGGACGCGCGGACTTCTTCTCTGTTGGGGACAGCGGCCTCGGCGGCGCCATCACGGGGTACTCTACGAAGGATCTTGAACTCGGGGACGCGACTATATTGTATAATGTGCGGGGGATCGTGGCCACGGTGACGCAAACATTGTGCAATGTACGATGGCTTGTTGTTTCGAGGGCGCGAAGATTGTGTCTTTTCCGGGGGAGCATGGCGTAATGGCGTCAGGATCAAGCATGATGTATACTTTCCAGAGGATGCAAACATGCCGTAGCTTCGGGGGCGAGAGTATCTTTCAATTTACGGGGGAACGTGGCTCCGGCGACGCGAATGTGATATAATTTGCAAGGGGCCGTGACCTCGGGGACGCGGACGTTTCGTAATTCGAGGGCGCGAATTGGTTAGATTTTGAAAGACTAGCTTCGAGGGCGCGACTAGCGAGCATTTCCGATTTGCGCAGGATCGTGGCCTCGGGGAGGCGAATATTTTGCTTAATGTGCAAGGGTTCATGCATGGCCTCTGGCACGCGAGCATTCTGTAAGTCACGAAGGTCTATTGCATCGGGGGCGCGAATTTCGCGCACTTTTACGGGTCCCACGACCGCCCCGAGAATTTTTTGAGAACACCCGGAGGGTGTGGTGAAGGGGTGGCTTGGGGCTCCCCCCCGCTCCTCGCGCGGATTTCAACAGTTTTCGGTAGGGGTTAGAACGTACGACTATAACATGGGAGACCTGGAACAGGATCTTGAGCACGGAACAGAAACCCTGGTGGCCCCACAGAAGGCCAGCAGATAACATACACACATTTGTAGGCACACACACACACACACACTTCTTGATATACACACATCTATATACACAGACAGATGTTTATATATATACATATATATATATGTATCACCTTACACATAGATTGGTAGCACGCACGGGGGCTTTGCGATTCCGGCTTGATTGCAAGGCGCCCGTGTTTGGCTTTCCAGGCGCCAGTGCCGTGAGCATTGAGTGCCGCATTTATTGGGAACGCTTATCCATGATGCACAAGCTTGTACATGCTTTCGTAGGCATGCGCATGGGGATTTGTCGCTCGGTGTGCACGACGACCAGGCGTAAGGGAAAGGTAGGACTCTTCATCAGACAGGTTTGTTTGCATATTGTGGGAATGTGACGTCTTTTTCCTCGCCTGCTTCGATTAGGTTGTGGCTGGGGACTTTCTGGACGCGTCGTATCGGGGCCATAGATGTTCTCTTTAATGTCGAAGGAGGGTTGGATGTCAATATTTCAGAATTGCATTGGTCAGGCAGCAATCTACTCCCGACCAAGCGGCTATTCAGCAGTGATGAAGCTCATATGTGATTGTAATGCAGTTTGTGGTGCCCCACAGTGCATTCGCACGCTCGGTCTTGTTCCTAGGTCTTGGTACTCTACCACTTTGATAGTTACTACTCTGTTCCACTTCTTTCCGCGCCGCTGCTTTCAACATCGCTCCTCTGCGTTCACGCCAGCACCACTGGACTGCAGTCTACGTTTCTTCGCAAGTGAGTAACGCAGTCTAATGGCCTGCCGGTTCAAGCAGCAAGTATGCTCCGACTACGCTTGCTTTTTCGCACCCTGATGTTGTTGGCATGTCGTGTCAGGCAAAACGACGTTCATGAACGTGCTGTGTGGCAAGGCTACCTACGGTACGATGGACGGAGAGGCGTAGCAGCTCTTTTTTCCCTTTCTCTCCCGCCGCCAACATGTGTGCATATCCACTGCCGCGGGGTCGTAGCCTGGCATCCCAAGGAGTGGTGGATATGGATATCTGCCGGCCCGCGTGGGCTGGCAGAGATCCACATCCACATATCCTGGCGGCGCATCGCTCTCTTTCTCTCTCTCTCTGTCGTTCCCTCTCTCTTTCTCTCCCTCCTGTCTCGCTCCTGCCGCAACTTTCCTTCAGTCCTGCGTTACTTCGCGGGGAGACCAGCCCTGGCAATCCGCTGTTTGGAAGGCTGAGCCCCGACAAGGCAATCGCGGACTGGACGCCAGTTTGGATCAGTACACCCATTCTCTGCCTCCATCCCTTCCTCATTATTTCAAGGGCAGAAAAAACGCCCCTACCCTGGTTTACGAGGCGCTGTGCGCTGAAACTCCTGTGGGCTGACAGGGGAAACCCTGCATGATGTGCCGCGTCCTGGCGGCTCTAGGCTTTGGGGGTTCCCAGGAGGTTTACAGACCACTCACTTGTAACCCAGGGTAGGGTCGTTTTTTCATCCCTCAATTATTTAAAAACTCCCCCTGCCGCACCACTAGGCGTTTCGTTAGGCCGGACCATGCGTTTCACCCGGCACCTCCTCGGCGATTGCGGCGCGGGAAATCTCAAATGGTGGCACGGATGGAGGGCGAACCGTTGTTCAACTGTGGCTGTCGCCATTGCGCTGTCCACACTCGGCTTACACAAAGTTTGACTACGAATGTGCGCGGCGTGAAGGCGGGAACCACATGCTAAAAGCGACTCCCTTTGCATCCCCTGTAACTGTTGCAAATTCGTCCAACAGATATGCGAGCGCCACAACGTTCGCACACACCAAGTTTCAGGATCTTAGATCACGACCAAGTCTCACGCGAAATGCCCAGCCCACCTTACTGACGCATCTGTGGGTGCGATAGGGAGGAGTGATTTAAAAGGACACGGGATTGATGGATGGATGGGAGGATGGATGTATGGATGTACGTATGTATGTATGGATGGATGGATGGACGGATGATGATGCTGATGATGCTGATAATAATGTTGATGTTGATGATATTGATGATGTTGATGCTGATGATGATGCAGCTGATGATGATGCTGCTGCTGATGATGCTGCTGCTGATGATGCTGCTGACGATGATGATGCTGATGATGCTGACACTGCTGCTGATGCTGATGATGATGCTGATGATGCCGCTGCTGATGATGATGCTGATGATGATGATTGACGATGATGATGATTGACGATGATGATGATGATGATGATGATGATGATGATGATGATGATGATGATGATGGTGATGCGGCTGCTGATGATGATGGATATGATGATGCTGATGATGATGACGATGTTGATGATGCTGATGATGATGTTGAAGATGCTGATGATGATGACGATGATGTTGATGATGATGATTCTGATGCTGATGATGCTGATGTTGATGATGACGATGATGCTGATGATGCTGATGCTGATGCTGATGATGCTGCTGATGGTGATAATGCTGATGATCCTGATGCTGATTATGCTGATGCTGCTGCTGATGATGATGCTGATGGTGATCATAATGATGATGATGCTGATGCTGATGCTAATGATGATGCTGCTGATGATGCTGATGATGCTGCTGATGATGCCGATGATGATGCTGATGCTGATGCTGATGCTACTGCTGATGATGCTGATGATGCTGATGATGATGCTGATGCTGAGGCTGCTGCTGCTGATGATGATGGTGATGATGATGATGGCGATGCTGATGCTGCTGGTGATGATGATGCAGATGACGATGGTAAGGATGATGACTTTGATTATTATGATGATGATGCTGATGACGATGACGATGACGATGATGATGATGATGATGATGATGATGAGTATGCTGATGATGATGATGATGATGATGATGATGATGATGATGATGATGATGATGATGATGATACTGATGCTGATGATGATGCTGATGATGCTGATGCTGCTGATGATGATGAACACGATGTTTATGCTGAGGATGATGCTGCTTATGATGATGATCTTGATGATGATGATGATGATGATGATGATGATGATGGTGGTGGTGGTGGTGGTGGTGGTGGTGGTGATGATGATGATGATGGTGATGATGGTGGTGGTGGTGGTGATGCTGACAATGATGCTGCTAATGCTGATGATGATGCTGATGATGATGATGATGCTGATGATGATGATGATGATGATGATGATGATGATGATGATGATGATGATGATGATGATGATGATGACGATGACGCTGATGATGCGGAGGATTCTGATGCTATGCTGCTGCAGATGATGATGAGAGGAGGGCGATGAAGAGGAGGAGGAGGAGGAGGAGGCGGAGGAGGAGGAAAAGGAGAAGGAAGAACGAGCAGGAGGAGTAGGAGGAGGAGGAGGAAGAGGAGGAGGAGGAGGAGGAGGAGCATGAGCCGGCACCAATCTGTTGACGAAGCTGTTTCAGTCTGTAAGGCTGTATGGAGCAGGCCGTGGAAAGGGAAAAGTCCGGATGGCACCCCGTCCGTCCTGGCCGAACCAAGGTGGCCTCCCCGCGCGCAGGTGCTCATCAACGGGGTCCCCGGGGACATATCTTCGATCAAGTCCCTCACAGGCTTCGTCCCGCAGGACTTGCCCGCGGTGGCATTCTTTCGCGGCGTCCCCGGGCCCCTCCCGCGCGGAGGCGTGCTGGGCGGCCTTGGAGCAAGGGCCAGGGATCGGCGCAGAGGAGGGAGGGGAGGGGAGGGGAGGGGAGGGGGGAGGGCGGAGGGACAGCCGAAGACCGGGGGACGACGCGAGCACAATTTTGGGAGCTCCGCTCTGATGTCGTGGGGCGGCGCCAGGACCCCTTCCCCCGCATTTCCTGGCGGCGCCTCCGGCGTCGCGCGCGGCACCTGGCGCGCGACGCCCGCTGGGGAAGGGCTCCGACGGCCTGCAAGGCGGCCCCAGGCGCACCCAAGAGGGCACCAGGACGGGGCCGCAGACCCTCCAAGACCGGGGGGTTGCTAGAAGTGCCCCTGGCGCAAGGTGTCCCCACGGATTTCCAAGGAGGACCCCACGGCTTCCAGAGAACTCCTTACGAGACCCAGGGGGCCCCAGGGGCTCCAAAATGGAGCGAACCGCGGCAAATTTTTGCAACCCCTGACGAGACTGGACCGCAGACTCCAGGACCATCCTAGAGCGTATTGGAGGTCTTGGTTCGCAGAAGCGGTGCTGATGCTCAAAAATTTCTAGACGCTTCGCGTAGCCCCACCAGCAGCAGCAGCAGCAGCACCAACACCAACCCCAGCTGCAGCACGACCGACTCCACCAGCACCTGACCGACACCAACAACACCACCAGCAACTCCAGCAGCACCACGACCAACCAGCGACCCACTCCAGCAGCACCGGTGCGACTCCAGCATCATCAACACCAACCCCAGCTGCGCCGCGCCCGTCTCCAGTAGTACCTGACCGACACCAAGGGCCAGCCGTGGCAGGGGGCTCAGGCGCTGCTCTGGAAGATGCGGCTGGCGAAGATAATCCCGACCTCCATCATCAGCTACAATGCTGCGACGAACACGTGCGAGAAGGGCCGACAGTGGAAGCTGGTCGGAGCGGCGGTGGCAGCACGGTGGGAGGAGCGAGTAGGGACGGCAGTGGCGGCGTGGAGGGTGACGGCATGATGGGGAGGGACGGCAGTGGCAGCGCGGGTGGGGGGCAGGAGTTGGGAGGAGGGAGGGACGGCAGAGGTAGCACGGCGAGAGCGGGAGGGCAGGGCGAGCCAGTAGGAGCGGGCATTTTGTACATCACATACAGCTCGGACGATCAGCCAGACCGCTGCGACCCGCATGTGAGAGAAGGGCGAGCTGCGGCAGCCGGTCCTGCCGCTGCTCCGCGAGACGTGGGCGGAGAAGCCGCAGCCCCCTGTCATCGGGAGCTACTCTGTCCCGGCCAGCGTGTGCAGGAAGTCGGAGGAGTGGCAGCCGGCCCAGCGGCTGCTCAGCGAGATGTGGGTGGCGAAGCTGGGGCCCATCATCAAGTGCTGGAGCGCCCCGACCAGACCGCGCGAGAAGTGCAAGCTATGGCAGCCGGCCCAGGCGTTGCCCAGCGAGGTGCGGGTGGTGAAGCTGGAGCCCACCGTCGTCAGGAACCGCATCGCCCCGACTTGCGCGTGCAAGAAGGGCGAGCAGTGGCAGCCGGCCCAGTCGCTGCTCAGCGAGACGTGGATGGTGAAGCTGGAGCCCGCCATCATCAGGAGCTCTTTCTCGAACAGCGCGTGCGAGAAGTGCGAGCAGTGGCAGCCGGTTCGCCCGCTGATCAGAGAGATGTGGGTGATGAAGCTGCAGCCCACCAGCATCGGGAGCCTCGTCTTCAGCAGCGTATGCGAGAAGGGCGAGCAGTGGCAGCCCGCCCAGGCGCTGCACAGCTAGATGTTGGTGGCGAAGCTGGAGCCCGCCATCTTGCACTACAGCGCTATCACCAGCGCGTGCGAGAAGAGCGTGCAGTGGCATTTGTCCTGGTCGCTGATCAGCGAGAGGTGTGTCGTGGACTTGCTGCGGCGTTGCGCGTGCGAGAACGGTGCAAGAGGCATGGATGTGGATTAAGAAGGTTGGGATTCAAGGAGGTGGGCAGAAAAGTGCTTAAGAGGTGGGATAAGAAGGTGGGACGCCGCAGCGCTTGTGAGAAATGGGACGGGCTGGCGATCGGGTAGTCGCGTACCTCCTCCGCTCCTTTTTTTTTTCTCTCTCCCTCTCTCTTTTAATTAAGTGCGCCTTACGGCTTGCCAGGCTGCTCTGCGGAGAGCGGCGCGAGGAACAGCGTGCTGTTTTTAGTCCGCGCTGACCGTGGACAAAAAAACAACTCGGACACACCAACCATCAAATAGAACTTATAGCGGCGATTAGCTGCGACCCCCGAGGTGATTAAAGAGAGATCTCAGTGGCGATCAGCTGCGACCCCCGAGGAGATTAAAGAGAGATCACAGCGGCGATTAGCTGCGACCCCCGAGAATGACCCAAGAGATTACCATGGCCAGGCCGAGGGGTGAGGCGGTGCTTCCCCTCGCCTCTCCCCTCTCGGGCCAGGCGGGTGTCCCCCGCCCTTGGCCTCGGGGCCTGCCAGACGTGCTATCAGACGTCGGGGCGGTTGCCCCCCCTCCCAGGGTCGCCCGTGTTCCGCGCTACTCGTGATCTGGTTCATCACTCTCAGCGGCGTTTGCTTCGGCCCTGGAGGACCTCGTGGTGTGCGTAGGGTCACGGGTCTGGGGGGCAGTGCCAAGCGGCGGACTGGGCCAGACTTGCCTCCTGGCCCCCGTGTCCTCCACAGTGCAGCTCCCCCGGGCGCTTCCCAGTGCCGCCCGCCTCCCCTCACTCCCCCCGCTGGCGATGCTCACCACGCCTGCGGGCCCTCCCCCCCCCTCACCGAGGCCTGGCGCCGTGCCGGCACGCGCTGCGTGGCCCACAGTCGCTTGGTTCCCCTATGCACTGTGGGTGGTCTCTCGGGTGTTGGGTCGCGACAGAGTGGTTCAGCTTTCCGCAGCAGGTACAACACCCCAGGCTCATCCACCAGCTTCCGGCAAGTGCGTTGCACCAAGTTCCGCGACAGCTGCCCCCCTGGCTTGCAGGCGTCGTCGTGGGCGTTTGGAATCTGGCGCCCCACAGGCGACTCACTCCACCGGCCCCCCACTTGCCTCCACTCAGATTGACGGACTTGGTCATCCTGGTTATGTCTCTTGACGGGCTTGGTTACCCGGTTCACGTCTCAGACTGTGGTTGGCACCGAATTCCATGACATTTTGTCTGTGCACGTGCACGAGCTCTCAGGGTCAGGTCACCTGCAGCTTCAGCTCCTCTTCAGCTTCGTGGCTGCTTTGTGAGCGGGCCGGCCGGCCTGTGCCTGTTGCAGCTAATTGTCCTCGCCCGTGGCCCGGACGTCGCCTCCGCTCCCTGACCGTCGTTTCGGGGCCGCTGACCAAAAAAGTAACCCCACCAGCCCATCCAGACGCAATGCACAGACGAGTGGCCCTGATCAGGGATGTGGACCAGCATGCAGTGGAGTAGTGGGCTGGGTAATACGTCGTACCCCAAGAGGGGGGATGGAGGAGGAAACATAATCGGAATCGGAGTGGAGGAGGAGGAGGAGAAAGCGGTGTAGGGGGGAGGGAGGAGGAGAAACAGGCGGACGATGATGATGACGATGACGATGACGATGACGATGATGCTGATGATGATGATGATGGTGATGATGATGATGATGATGATGTTGATTATGATGATGATGATGATGATGATGATGATGATGATGATGATGATGATGATGGTGGGGGTGGTGATGATGATGGTCATTATGATGCTGATGCTGATGCTGATGCTGATGCTGATGCTGATGATGATGATGATGATGATGATGATGCTGATGATGCTGATGATGATGATGATGATGATGATGATGATGATGATGATGATGATGATGATGATGATGATGATGATGATGATGATGATGATGATGATGATGATGATGATGATGATGATGATGATGATGATGATGATGATGATGATGATGATGATGATGATGATGATGATGATGATGATGATGATTGATGAGATGATGATGATGATGATGAGGATGAGGAGGAGGAGGAGGAGGAGGAGGAGGAGGCGGGGAGGAGGAGGAGGAAAGGGAGGAGGAGGAGGAGAGGAGGAGGAGGAGGAGAGGAGGGGAGGCAGGAGGAGGAGAGGGAGGAGGAGTGGAGGAGGAGGAAGGAGGGGGGGAGGGATGAGGAGGAGAGGAGGAGGAGGATGAGAGGAGAAGGAGGAGGAGGAGGAGGAGGAGGAGCAGGAGCACAGGAGGAGAGGAGGAAGGAAGGAGGAGGAGGAGGTAGAGGAGAGGAGATGATGAGGAGGAGGAGGAGGGCAGGAGCAGGAGGGAGGAGGAGGAGAGGAGGAGGAGAGGAGGAAGGAGAGGAGTAGAGGAGGAGGAGGAGGAGGAGGAGGAGAGAAGAAGGGGAGGGGAGGGGGGGGGGGGAGTGGGAGGGGGAGGGGAGGGGGTGGAGGAGGGGGGAGGGGGGAGGGGGGGAGGAGGAGAGGACAGGAGGAGGAGGGGAGGAGGGCGAGCAGAATGGCCAGAGACCTTTTGGAGGCTTCCTGGGGCGTCTTGGGGGTCTCTTGGCAGTCCTGGGGACCTCTTGGGGCGTCTTGGATGCCTCCGGGGGCCTCTTGTGGCCTCTTGGGGGTCTCTTGGGGCCCTTTTGGGGGCATCTTGGGGGCATCTTGGGGGCCTCTTTGGGGGCATCTTGGGGGCCTCTTAGGGAACCTCTTGGGACCTCCTGGGCACATCTTTAGGCCGTCTCTGGGAACCCTTGGTAGCCTCTGGGGCTATGTTGGGGCCAGTTTGGAGGAGATCGATGAAAGGACGGACCGTACTAAATTAGCCTCCCCCCCTGGAGGCCAAACTGTGGCCCAAACCTCCATGAACAACATTGACTCCCCCAGAACAAATCCGGTCGCCCTCCAGGACGACTCGATTTTCGCCGTCCGACCGGGAAATGCCGATTTCGCTCGGCATGTCCTCACAAGCAAGTTCTGGTCGCTTCCCATGCCACAACAACGTGATGATTTCGCTTATGCCGTCCTGTCTTCCAAGTTT